CGCCTAGCGCCTAGGCGGCCGATTTTTTGGCCGGCTAGGCCGGTTTTTTGACCGACTAGGCTGCCTAGGCCGCCTAGGCCGATTTTTAGAACAATGATTGCAGCATACGCTTATTCCAGGACAACTTTCTCGAACTACCTTTTTTGTTAAGGTAATAATACAAATCATACACTTGTAATACATACATAGGTAATAATGCATATTATATTCTGAGGTAATGTTCGGAGCAAGTTTTTGGAAATTCATTTATGTTAACATCACATCATACAGTTAACAAAATTGATAAAATCGAATTATCTTCATTAATGTCAAACAGCTAGAGTTTCTGCACATTAACGTCAAATTATGCATATAAAACTGATTTTATAGAAATTCCTTTTCGTTAACATCAATTCATACTCTTGTTATACATATGTAGTATAAAATTAACAACAATGCAATTTCATATTACAGAGGTTCAGTAATGTAGTGTTGTTCGAGATTGTGAAGTTTACGGTTTTGCTAAAGTAATTGGTTTGTGAAAAAATTTGGTTTGCAAAAAAAGATGGTTTGTGTGAACAGGAGGTATGCGAAATAACCCAGTTTGCGAAAACAAAAGATTGCGAAAAGTAACATTTGAAGTTTATGGATATATCTACACCTCGAGAAGTATATTTGCACTTGCATATTTCCCTTTATAACACAAGCCTACAACATCATTTCTGTTATGACATCGTTTTAGATTTGATTTTACAACAAAACTAAAAGAAAATGTTTAGATGTTATTGTACTAACTAGTATTTCAATGTTTAGATGTTTAGATGTAATACGTAAACATTATAAATGCTAATATATAAGTGCATTTATAAATCATACTATGAAGTATTATTTACCACATCAATGAGAGTGTAGTAAATAAATAATAAATATTAAACTTCAATGCGCACAAAGATTACAAATTATTGAAAACTTACTTGTATATGACTTATTTTGCAATTTTTTTTCCTTCATCGTCTGATATCACAAAAAAAAATTATTCTGGATCAGAATGGGATGATTGACCTTGCCCACCCAAGCCAATAATGGAATGCACTACTAAATAGTTTCTCCCTATTTCTATATTCGTGTAGTATATGTACTTTAAAATTTTAAATAACGATAAACGTACGTATTTTATTTGTTCTTCTTTAATCTTCTCCTTTTATGCACACACTTCATTTTATACAAATATATTAGAATGATATAGTCATTATGATCTAAAATTCCATTTTAAAAAGTTAACTTGATAAATGAATAGCATGAGATCTTAGATAGTAGTTTAATAGTTCATATTTAACATGTTCTGAAAATACTTCAAAATTTTTTGAAAAATGTAAATGTATCATCTTCAACGATTTCAACCATAGTAGTAATTGAAATTATATCAGTTATTTTGTTTCGCGCTCGGCATTGTGCCAAGAAATAAATAAAAATTTAAGACTTGATAATAAAAATCTGAACACGTCTTTTTTGGGTGAGATAGAAGAGGAAACATTACACATAGGGTATTCGCTAGCAAAACAACTCCATGATTAGAAAGCTAGGATATTACTTAGGAGAATGAAAAAACAGGAACCCATGGAATTGTTGAACAAACGGAGTCTACCTAATCAATCATGCTATCCAAATATACTTCAACCAAAATTAGCACAATAAAAAGGATCAGAACTCGAATATCAATCATTTGTGGAGGATTGAGCCTAAACAAAATTTTAAAAACTAAAGCTTTAATCAGCAAGAAAATATTTTAAACATCTTTATGTTTGACCCGAACACCTCTGAAGTCCTTTGTACAACACTAAACTGCACTTGAGATGGTTGTTCGTTCCAGCTCTCTTCATACCTAGCAATAGTAGACATTCTTCCAAACACAACCCGTAACGGGGCAACAAAAAAATAGGTGCTCAAAGGATTCTATAGCAATACAACAGAAGCTACAGACCTTATCAATGAGACATTGTTATGAGAAGATGGAATCTATTCTGTGTAAGATTCCATCTTCTTCCACCAATAGGCATCATCTTAGCATTTATAATAGGAGACATAACTTGCAATGTAGAGTGTAAAGTTCAAGAAATCCAGCTTTGAAGTTAAATAAAAAATGTAATAAAAATAATATATAAGAATAGAAAATATGTAGTCTAGATACAGAGATTGCACATGGCGCCCTATCAAACTGATCTAAAATGGATAGTTTAAAAAAAGTTTGCCTTTTAAAACCGAATCAAAGAATGCTAAAAGTCACCCAGGCCGGTTCCTTAACCATCAAAGGAACTAGAAATCAACTCATATGATTGAATCCATTATTTGATGTTACTCACAAACACCAGAGCAACCTTCACCGGTTCTATGTTTCCTTCCTGTAGCATTGGAAGCTCCTTCGGGAACTAGGGTGTCGACTCCATCCTATCAATTTCCTTCTTCTCAGTTAATAATCTTCAACCAGATAGACATCAAGCCATGTTTAGGAACGTTTCAGTTGGTATAATTTTCACTTTGGCTGTGATAATTCTAATGTTAATATTGACAATCTTTATTATTTCTATGTTTTCAGTTTATCGACATGTATTTATTCCTTTTACCTACAAGTATTCATCTCATTTTACCGACCAATGAATTCATCTTCTTTTATCGACATGTATTCATCTGTTTTTTACCGTGAATTTTTAAAGTATATACAAAACAATATAACGATTGGGTTTGTCCTCCTGAACAATATATAAATGGCTTAACATTTATTTGATAAATTGTTTTAAGGTATATATGAAAAATTAAAGTACAAGAACATTGAGGACTCATCAGTGTTCATGTATGCGTGTATAATAATACGAAGTATATAGCTTCTAGATGCAGTGTGGCAGTTTGGTACAATCAAGCCCATTAAGTATTGAAACGATTGTTTATTATGCAGTCTATTGTGAAGTTTTAATGTTACAAAAAAAAGAGATATTGTGATAGAATGTTTACCATTGACTATAATCAACTCAACAAAGACCTGAGCAATATACAAACCGGCTTATCAGTTATTTGATAAATTAACTATGAATGGACTATTTTAAGGGATGAAAAAGTAAGAATGATTTGAGCAAGTCATACCTTAGTTCTTGGTGAGCATGTTTCAATATATTTGCAGCCTTGAAGGCATCCCTACATGCATCTTACAGTATCCTCTCAAGAGTAGTTTAATCATCTTCATTAGTGAATCCGATCACACCTTCCTGCTCAAAATAGTTAGTTAATCACACATTAAAATGAAATCAATAGTAGCTTAATATTCATGTTGCAGCTACAGAGAAACCATACATATGCGGGTTCCTGCTAGAAAAACCACAAATTAGTACTCTACAAAACAACTTTTCTTCATGTTCATTCTACCATTTAGTTCAAAACTTATTCTAGTTCTATCATTCCACATTTGTCATTCTAATATTATTGTAAATTTCCCGGTCCTATTTGTTATGACTATACTGTCAAAGTGCTAATGTATTTAAATAGCTTTAAGTAAATTCCTTAAATCTATTTAGGTAATTCAAAATATAAGAAGGTATTCTAATATTACATAAATTAACATTCAGCTTTATGTTAGTCAAATTCGAGTAGAGGTAATTTAGATTGTATGGTGTAGGACGTTCACTTATATTAATATTCAATTTTATATTAGTCAAATTCTTTACCAGAAAAGTCATTATTAATCTCCACAGTTTATATTTATGTATTTATAGGTTGTATTTGCAGCTAACATGGCACCTGTGAAGAAACTTTTGTCTGAGGTGACTCTTAATCTTGAACGAAAAGATGCTCTTTGTATTTATAGTGGCATTTCCCTTAATTTCTTGACTCCTGCTATTCTGCTAACTAATAGGGACTGTGAGATGCCAAATCTTATACTCCGTATATGTATTTGTGAGATTTCAAAGCTTGAAAATTTTGTATTGATGAGCAATACATCAAGAATAGGAAAAAATCTAACTACATCAGTCTCATTATATGTGTGTTGAAGTTTAAGTAGAATAATATTTTTTTTTAAGTAGAATAATATGAAAGAATATGACCCCATATTTCTTGCCAAAAAAGAACAAAACATTTGTTTTGGAACAACCCAAGATGGAAAGAAAGACACACTAAAGGAGTGTTTGCAGTTACTTAAAAAAGTGCTTTTCAACTTTTAGTTTAAAAAAGCTGAAAAGAATGTTTTTTCAAATGACAGCTTATGCTTAAATTAATCACTCAAAAGCTAAAAGCTGGAAGCAGGTGGAAGAGTGCTTTAAACTGCTTTTCACTTTCTCTATTACACAAAAAACACTTATTTTACCAAACACTACCAACTTTTACTTTTTCAGAATCACTTTTATCTCAAACACTACAACTTTTACTATTAAGTACTTTCTCCAAAATCACTTTAAAAATCATTTTTTTAAAGTAAAAACAACCGCAAACACTCCTTAAATGGGACGGAGGGAGAATTTGGTTCACAAGACATTTTATGAATAAAATAAAATACATTTATTTGCAATTTGGTTCTCCATAAATGTTGATAGTTAGTACCTGCTAAGAGATGTGATGCTATGTTGCTTTAAGCCACACTCCAATTGGAAATAAACTATACCTATGCTTTATAATACTCCATATGAAGGATGATACATGTTCTCAGCAGAGCAAAGTACAAGGTCATGTTTGGTAATGGCAAAGAAAGTTGGATTAGAATGAAAAAGAAACTAAGGTACTGAGCTATTTATATATTTACTGATTTATTTAGAAGTGAAAGGAGTGGAGTATTATGAAGAAATGCCAAGCAAATGCCTTAAAATCTTAAACCAGGGGAGGCCGAGGGGGGGTGCTTTCTAGTGCTCTTTACTTTATTGCTTTAAACTAAGGGGCTGATTCATATCAAGTTTCTCCATCTGTTCTTTATTGCTTTAGTGACCTTTAAGATCTGTGATAACACTCAAAATGGAGCTCCTGGTCTAATCACTACAAATAATGAAATAATAGATATAATACTATTCAGTGCCTGGAAAGGAAGTTATCGGTGACATAATTGATTATTTACAAACATTTATAATTTACACTCTGTTCGCAACACGTATAATCAATTGATAACTCTTATACAGGTTCAGGTACAACATAATAAAATTAATCAAATTACACTTTGTTCTACACTTCTACTTCTCTGTACAACTAGCTTGCTTGAAGAAGATAACTGGCATGAAAAGTCTGTCACCACATGAATGTGCTATCACTGAATGGATTATACGTGTTGTGAACAGAGTGTAAACATTTGTTGTGACCCATGACTAAAGTTTCTACAGGAAGTCTTCCTATATTTATTGTTTTTGTAACCCCAACTCGACCTAGACAGTTCCAACCACCCCACCCGACTTAACTGAATGGATATTAGCAAGTTTAGGATGTAACAAGCCACTTGAACCATTGGTTTGTTTCGTCAATTTATGGTTACTTCAATATATAACCAATCTGAACCCCATTTATGGGTAAGCCTGATTTCAGGGTGTGATAGTTATAGCTTGTTATATTTCTTCATCCGTATCTCGTGTTACTGAAATAATCTCTTGATCTGCATTAGGCGATCCTATTATCTCATTTCCTTCTCCAGAATTTCCATTACCTTCAGGCGCGACCTTATTTACTTTCCAAAAGGTTAGAGCTAATGTGCATACTTTTTGCCAGGTTGAATCATCATCAGATGCTAAGATCTCTTTGTTCTGATAGAGGAAGTTGAAAAAGAAGATGAGAAGAGCAGAAAATGCTGCCAGACCAGCTATTAGGAAAATTCCCTTGAAACTATCCAGTGATAGGCTATCTGATTCTGATGCCAGTAGAGTTCCATCTTGCTGGGAACAATCTGTCTCATTACTGAACCACTTATCAATAATTCTTGTCATACTGTCACTTTCCATCACACTTAACACTGCTCTTGATATATCAGGCACCAGAGGTGATCCCTTTGGGAATGCCTGCCACAAAAATCCAAAGTAGTAGTTCAAGGCTTTATATGTTGGTGTGTATCTTTATATTTTAGTGTGAGAAATCTTAAAAAGTCAACCTTATATTCGTGTGGCTTGACTTATCAAAAAATTGGTCCAATTTGAATAGATCAATTTTGGATATTGGTGCAAACTCTTTTTAGTTATATATTTCTATTATGTAAAGTCAGAGAAATCTAAGTCTATGCAATATTTTCAAAATTTGTAGGCATATTTAATTTTCCGAAGTCAAATATAGCATAAAAAATATTTTCCCTTGCATTTTTCCTTTTCCCTTTCCCTACCATTTTCTGAGTTCCAATCGCAGCCTTATGAAATGAAGATATAAAAGCTGAGGGTTTTTAGTGAAGTTACAAATCCAAATCCTGCTGTCTTGTAAGTTGGGCCAACCATGGTGTACTTCCCACAGTACTTTGCGAGAAAGAGTCTCATGTAGGGCAGTTCATCAACAATGGCAGCAACACCTCCGTTTTGGCTTCCTTTGGTGAGGGCTTCATGGTACTCTTCCAACGAGCTGTAATTCCGAAATTTTGAGCTGTCTAATTGCATGTACTTCAAAAGGCCCCTGACAAAAGACCCATCCTGGTATCCTACAGATTCTCGGTTCTTTATGAGATCTTTAATGTTTGAGATGGTTGGTTGCAGCTGTTGGACTGTTAACATGGACGTTAAGCTGGCCGTGTAACTTGAGGTAAGCACCAGCACTACAAAGACCCAAATGATGATGACAAATCTTGATAGATTGCTGATCACCTTTTCTCCTGAAATGTTGCAGGTTTTCACTATCATCAGAAAACTGTTCCTTAGGGCACATTTGGAAACGAAAAAAATGCTTAGATAAGATATTTTAAGTTTGGATTTGCCTTAGAAAAGATGTTTCAATATAAAAATGACTTATGAAAAAAATATAACTTTTTAAAAATGGAAAAAAATACTATGTGTCACTGGGGGTGACAGTCACCCTGAATCCTGCATGTCACTGTGACCGGTGGCAGCTGTTTCTCGCATTTTTCCAGTGACTACTTATTCAAAAATCTTGGAGGCACCAGAAGATATGGTGTTGTTGGGCGGCAAAGTTGGAGAAAAGAAATTGGCATAGACTTTGAATACGAATGAAAAACAGATTTAATTTGTCTTTATAAAATGAGCTACTCGGTATATGAATAAAATAAGTTTGAATAAATATCTATAATTGTTATTGAGTTTGAACACATTTTTCATTTTGATCCATATATTATTCCCTTCCAAACTTTTCCCTTATTCCTTTCATATTTTCTCTACCTAATAATGTAAGTTCCAAAGGGACCTTTAAAGTCACTATCATTGAGACAAAGACTTACTATGAGCAAAGACTAGAGTGGAGAAAGAGAACCAGAAGATCATCCCAATCTGCTTGTGACGAGGACCTTGAAACTCTTTGTTTATGCGATGTTCAAGCACCCAAATCACGGAGCCAATAAAGATGAAGAAAGCTCCTGTTGTCACCCAAAGCTCTGTTTTCAAAGGCTTTAAGAAAATCCAGGCACTCCTCCTCCTATCTTGCTTTACTGGGACGACTGTTATCACCCCAGATTCTGTATAGGGGAGTGTGAATTCAACCCTATCGGACCTGTTCGCCAAGATGGTCACATCTCCAACGACTGCATCAAACGTCTGTTGGAATCCAAGAAGTGCTTCAATGTGGTTAGTTCTAGGGCATTTTGTTGTGAACCGCTTAATTTCAAACTTCAAAGGTATAAGGCTGTTCAGAGGAAAAAATAGCTCATTTCCACTTTTTAGTCTAAAATAAACACTTGTGATGCCTAAATCTGAACTTCTCCACATTAGGTCCTCTGACTATTGTGTTTGTTGTGACTCTTTTAGAACTTGTCTTTGAATTATGACATATTAGTCAGATGATCAAAAGTGTCCCAATAGTTGGAGTGTTAAAAGTGTCCTCACAACTCACAATGGGCAGAGAGGCCAGAGACTATAAGTAAATCGGAAGTAAATAACAGAAATGTCATTACCAAAAGTGAGGACTAAAACTCGAAAAAACTTCATGAAGAAAAGCATGTTTACTTTAAGTAGTGGCATTTTGAAGTAAAATAGTAAAAGTGTTTTTAAATGCTTTATTAAAGAAAAAGAGTATATTTGTGTTTGCTAAAAAAGCATTTAATTGCTCAAACAAGAAGACACTTGTGATAAAAACACACTAAAACCATACAAAGTACTCTTGTAATATGTAATATCTGTATATTACTATATACTTGTACTTTGTATATCCCAAACAGGATTGTTCATCAACACCGAACTGATATGAGAGGAGGATTAATACTAGGAGAAGAGTAGTTAGTAATGGTATTACCCCAATAAAAACCTGGCGGACAAGTTCATCATAGTCTGGCAGGTTTTGGCTGTGAGGGATTCCGTAAGGTACATAGTCAAACGGAACAGCATAAGGTAAGTTCTTGAGAACTTCCTCAAAAACATCAATACAGAAACCTGTCACGGTCACTCTGTTTGTCTGGGGATCCTTAGTCACTTTCACAAACTGTTCAAGCCCTCCTTTAACAGGAACTCCAACCCTCAACTTCTTTTTCCCATTTGTGGGGTTTTCCCATCCTTTAGGAACTATATCAGAGTCACCTGGCCAGGTGATTACCCCAAGATCATACATGTTAGCTGTGTACTGTACACTTGTGCTATCACTACTACTATGCTTCAGCTTCTTGGAGAGCCCATACTCTTCTGTCCAGAACCCTACCCTTCTCTCTGTTCCACCCACATTCACAATCTGAAACACCGACGGCTGCAACTCTCCGTTGACAATATTGAATTGACCACTTTGCCCTTTGACTTTGATATTTCTGAGCGATTCTATGAGTACAGGCCCTAAAAGTGAGGTCCCTATAGTGTCCATGTCAGATAAAGTCTCTCCTCCGCTGACTACCTGATTGAATCCTTGATTGGCTGCATCTACTCTCTCAAGCGCTATGGCTAATAATGTCATGCTGTCATATGCCCACAACCCGAAAATGTCTACCATCTCTTCTTCGTCGTCCGTCGCTGGGTTCTCCTCATAAAACTTCTTTCTCCATCTCTTTGTGAAGATTTTCAGCTGAGCGGATGGTTGTACGTACGGCTTCACCCCCAGAACTCCTTGCATGTTATCAATCATTGTAGGATCAGTGGACCCCAAAAGACTCATGCATGAGTGCGTGAGAATCCATACGTAGCCTGCACTCATCATTCCGACATCATTCGCCTTCTGAAAAAGGCGGGATCCTGTGTCCGGCGATAGATGCACGATGAACACCCTTGTTTGCATCGTCATCAGCTTGTAGAGCTCCATGAGGACTAGCTCGTCATCTGCCGAAGGTGCCAGAACGCTTCTGTAATGGACAAAGACGTTGACTTCCATCATGGCGTTGGTCAAATGAGGGAGAATGCCCCTCCCGAAGTCACTGTCCTCGTACACAAACACGACCTCCCGCCAGCCAAAAGCTTTGACGATGGCAGCAATGGCTTTGACCTGAGCAGATGAACTCTGTGAGACTCTGATGAAGTATTCACTTTGGTTGGGAGAAAGTGAAGGGTTTGTGGCGGGAGAGAGAATAGGAACTTTGACTCTCTTCCCGATATCAATCACAAAATTTGCCTGTGTGGACATCTGAGGCCCCAGGATTGCCTGCACTTTTACATTCTTCAACAGGTCTATGGCTGCACAGGTTATAGATACTGTCAAATTTTAGTCATATGTCTATTTATTTATAAATATGAGGGTAAAGAAAATTGGAGACCATTAGACCAATAATAAAAGTGGAGTTTACTTCAGACTAAAATGTGAAACAGAGAACCAAACTACATTACTTCAGTCAGTTTGTATCGGTTTCGGTCGGTTTTAGCATGTTTATGTCGGTTTTTAGCGGTCAGTTTTGGTTCGCTCCGTTTCGGTTCGCTCTGTTTTTAACCCAAAAGTAGAAACCATTAACCGAACCGCCAAAAGTAGTTGGTTTTATTCAGTTTCAACTTGAGTCGGTTTCAGTCGGTTTGTAGGTCGGTTTTTCGGGTTTTTGTTCACCCCCCAGTTTTACCCATTCATTACTAAATACGATAGTATATGGTTGATATGACTAGCTAAAAAAATATTTTTGAACTTTTGAGTAATGGTTAGGTAAGACGATTGTGGTTGTTTGATAAAAGTTATCAGTTTTATATATATATATATATATATATATATATATATATATATATATATATACACTAAGCATGGTAAATAAGTCGTTATTACCCTGAAATTTACAATCAATGCAAAAAAAAAAGCAACAAACTTTCATTGATAAGCTCTTTAAAAAAAGCAGTTCTAAAAAAACTTTAAACAAGAAATGTTGTGGCATACTTTTGATTGTGAAAAACTTTACATAAAGACATTGTAACAAATGTGTATCAGAATATATAAACAGTTTAAATATATAAGTAAACACAAAAGTGCATCAAAATATATATAAAATGGGTATAAGTTTAGAAGTGATGATGATTTTTTAACACTAACGAGTAGCACCTTTATGACTAGGGGTGGGCAAAAATACCGAAAAATCGGTATACCGCACTTACAGTACCGAAAAATACCGGAATATTGGTATACCGCCATTTTCGGTACGGTATCATACCGTACCGAAATAAATGCTTTCAAATACCGCGGTATACCGGAATAATACCGTACCGACTCCCTAGCCAACAATTACTTTAAATTCTAAAATATTGTAAAAGTCCATTACAATTTTGAAGCCCAAAATTAATACTTAGGTTGGTTACAAATAACAAAATACAAAAATAAAGGTCCAATTTCCCAAACTTACTATAACCTTCTAGGCTTCTACTATGTAACATTCAAGCAAACTAACTCTAATGACTAATGAGTAATGTACAGAAACAAGTTCATCTTGTCCCAAGAGTTTGCGAGTCGCGATGGCTGAGCCGCTGAGTAGCTGACGAGTGAAGAGGGATACACTTATGTGACGAGTGTAACTACATAGGGATTCCGCGAGTCAAGAAACACAACTTTGTCTGAAAGTCTTATTCGAATATATTTTTAAAATTATAAAATTGACTAAACACACAATATTTTATTAGCTAGGAATAAATGATTTTATATTCATGTTGTTTGAATAATTTTATTTATTTTTGTTAGAGATCACTATTGATTTAATTATATCTATATTGTTCATGTTATTTAGGAGAATGTGTTACTTTTTAACATGTGCCATGTTGAACTGCTTAAATATACTAATAATAATTATGGTTCAATATTGACATCAATAGATTATTAATTGTATTTTGTAACATTTTAATAATGGATTAAATATGTCGCTAGTAACACCGATTTAGTATATTTCGTTAGTCTATGATAATTTGTTGTATTGAGAGACATGTATGGTAATTTACTGATACCGTACCGTTACCGAACCGAAACTTCGGTATACCGAAATGCGATATACCGAAACTTCGGTAAGGCAACAGTATATGAATTTTGATACGGCAAAGGTATGAGAAAAGATATACAGTATACCGTCCCGAATCACCCCTGCATTTATCTATATATGATTCACTTAATATTATAAATATTTGCACACTGTTTGGTCATTGTGTCTTTTAGTTAAAAATTCTTCTAATCCATCCAATCTCAAAAGATGAAAGGCCGAAATGTATTCTAATTTTTAATGGAAATACGATTCCACTTTTTACTATTCCACTTTTTAATGGAAATCTACCTCTATATGTGTAGTGGGGTTCACTCGCTTAAAAATGCGAAATTTTCACTTTTAATGTTTGATGGTTCACTTTTTTCTTTGTACATTTCACTTATTCGGGATAGATGATAAAAAGAATCACTTAATACAAAAATGTCATTGCTTTTCTCTTCATTTTGTCCAAAATGCCACAACTTTCACCTCAATTTTTTATATTAAGGAAACTTCATTCTGATATGCAAAATATGCAAACTAATCTCTCATAACTTAAAATATGGGTCAGACCCTCTTATATTACAATATCATTAATGCACCACTCTAAAACAATAAATAGTAGTATGGAAATCGCTCGTGGATGATCAAATATGCACTTCAATTGATAAAGATTCCTAAACTATAAAAAACAAATCAACACACTTTCATTTCATTTGAGAGTATTAGATACACAATAAATCAAACAAAAGAACTTTGATGCACTTTTTGAATAAAATATGTACGGAAACTAAATTGAACCAAATTTTCATAACCCAGAAAGCAATCGAGTCTAACAGGGTGTTAGAAATTGATTATGCATGCTTATTTTTTTGAAGAAGAAATAGAATCAGAATCATTTTTACGAAAACTAGTTTCCCTCAACTTCTAAAGAACGGCTTATAGGAACAATATTTGTTTCTGCTTCAAAGAATGGAAGCAGTTTTAAATGGTAGATCCAAATACCCTAATAAAAGGTGGGAACCAAATTGAGTAGTAGTGTTTGGAAGGAATTAAATTGTGTATTAACTATATTATCTATTTAGTAAAAAGCCACAACCTTTTACCTGCAGCAGCTGCAGCAACATCATCAGTATTCGAGTCTCTGAAGTGAGGGATAATCTGGGTTTTATGGCTGCCACTGCCATAGAAATCAGCAAGAGCTAGTGACATGCTTGTCTTCCTCATCTTCCCACTCTCTGTTTTCAAATCTAGAATCACCCCAACATCTACCTTCACTGCGCTTGAATTTTGGGCTGAGAGTGGGGTTATTGCGCATAGAGTAATAATGATGGAAAACTTGAGCAGAAAAATATTGAAGAATCTTAAAATATTCATTTGTGAAACAAGAACTTAGCTTTCTCCTCAAATAAGATGGGTTATTAAGTTCTGACAAAGAATATTCACAACCCAGGAAATTGCTTGTATAAAAAACGTCCATGGCTCCAAGACGAAGCGCGTTGAAAACTGATACTGTAGGTGGAAGAAAAGTCTCCAGAGAAAGAAATGATGAGCTCCTTTTTGTGTGGAGTGGCTAAGATTATCGCCGAAATGGTTGATTTATTTCTTAACAATAATTACTAAATTTTTATAAGAGGTCAGAGGTTAAGATAGGAGGTAATGTTAACAGCTAGTTAAATTGGAGTCTGAGGAGAAGAAAAGTCCACGAGAAGAAGCAACCGAACTCTTCTCCCTCTCAACCACATATTAATGAGACTGACTTATTAAGAGCCCGTTTGGAGAACTCTGTTTTCGGCTTATCAGGCTTATCAGCCAGCTTTTTCACCAAACACGCAACTTTTACTTTCGCGCGCTGAATTGTGTAATAAGCCGAAAAAGTAAGGTTGGAGTTACTTTTCTGGCTGTATTGGCTGAAGTTACTGTAGAGGATCATTTTAACTATTTTTACATATAATTTTTTCTTTAATTTATTAATAAAATATATTTTTAAAATATTTTTTTCTTAAATCAGCAGAATCAGCCAAAACAGCCACTCCAGCCAGAATATCATAAATTTCAGCAGAATCAGCCAAAACAGCCGATTTTGGTGCTACCAAACGGGCTCTAACTATGCATTAAGTCAACTTAATTTATAAGGTAGCCGTTTTAACAACATACATTTACTAAAATGCTCCTAACTAATATTTATCTGTAAATACATTTCTGATTAAAATGTGTCGGAGTTGTGGTCGGAAGGACGACGGGTGGTGAAAGAGAAAAAGTCACGACTAAATGTGGTTAAATTGAAGGTCAAGAGAGAAATGTGGAAGTGACATAATAGTCATGGGATCAAAAGTGGAATTTTTTCTTAAAATTTGTATGAAATTGTTACATGGATTCCAACATGTGAGAGTTATCATTTTGTTGACAAGATGTGCCACATTTTTAATCATAAGTTAAAATTCAAAATTGCGTTGTCTTAGTTCGATCAACTTGACCAATTCCAATAATGCAACAGTTCAAAATTTTCAAAATTAAATGGGAAAACTGTCATATAGGTGCTCGAACTTTCATAAAAAAAGTCAAATAAGTCCTTATATAGGAGGCTCTGTCCGGCCTTCGCGATTTGGGGCGGCTCCCGGTGGAATTTTTTGATGAAATTTTTTGAGCATCTTATTCATCAAGTCTAGTTTACTCATACCAAATTTAAGCTAAAACTTCAATTAGGAACGCATTCAAATTAATTCTTGAAGATAACTGGGCATTTAACTGCACAGTTATCTTCAAGAATTAATTTGAATGCGTTCCCGACTGAAGTTTTAGATTAAATTTGGTATGAGTAAACTAGACTTGATGAATAAGATGCTCAAAAAAATTATCAAAAAAATCCACCGGGATCCGCCCCAAATGCGACGGCCGAACAGAACCTTCTATATAAAGACTTATTTGATCTTTTTAGACAGTTTTCCCAAAACTAAAAAATGTCCTATTACCGAGTGCCGACTGTCGCTGAGTCGATCATCTCTCTACATGTGCGTAAGGAATTCTAGTGGCATCTTTCCTTCATGGTTGACACTATCCAAGAAGTATGAATATGAAGTTATATGATCAGCACTTTTGTTTTTTATCATCTGCAAAATGAATACTCCGTACGTTCTATTTATTTTTTTAAGTTGGTTTGAAATATAAGTTCTTTAATTGAGTGTTTATTATTGGGCATAAGTCTAAGTTTGTTTTATATTTAGAAAATCTCTAAAGTAGGGATGACAATTGTGACCGAACCGATGGATACCCGCACTGAACCGTCCCGGTCGAAACGGGCGAAACCGCATTGACCGGGTAACGGATACGGGGCGGGGAATACCCGTTTTGTGTTTAGGGGTAACAGGACGGTTACGGTTTTATACATGTCCACCCCATTACCCGCCCCGTACCCGCCCTGTTTATTTTGGCTATTTTTTATTACTTTTTATCTATTATTTGTCCCACAATTACTAATTAAAAGATGAGATTTTTCTATTTTCATTGTGTATATGAATAATAGATCTACCAACTATAGTGTGTGAATGAAATATCATAATAGATTTTAATAGTCTTGTTTGATTATTATCAGATTTTTTTCGTGATTAATTATTTTTCATATGAAGTATTTTTAGGTTCAAATTAATTTAGATTGTATTCCTTCTCGTCTTATAGATATACGAAACTTTAAAGTAGCGTATGAGTCATCTAGGTGATGTCATTTTTTGCTTTTTAAAATATTTTTATATATTAAAATATCAATGACTCATTTAATAAAGTGATTACCCGCAGTTATACCTGTTACTCGTTGAGGCGGTTATGGTTTGGGGAAAAGTTACCCGTTGGATAATGGGGCGGTTACGGGGTGGGGGAATTACCCAACGGGGCGGGTACGGTTATATGTAAAACCGTCCCCGACAGTGGCGGATCTAGGATTTATTGTTATTGGGGGCAGCTTAATTAAAAAACACTTAAAGAATAAAATTTGATAAATTATTATTGTATTAATTATTATTACGATGACAAATGTTTAACAAAACATATCACATTGTTTCAGGGTTTTTATCTTTTCAAAAAGATCCATTACAATTATGTTTAAAAACCTAAAATAACATATATAGAGTAATTTAGATTTTGAATTTTTAAGTATCTACGTGACATTTTGCAATAGAGGTAAGGGTCACATTGGTACTCGAAGTTGCATAAAAAGAGTCAAATAAGTCCTTATATAGGGGACTCTGTCCTGCCGTCACCATTTAGGGCGGTTTCCGGTGGAATTTTTTGACAATTTTTTTTAGCATCTTATTCATTAAGTCTAGTTTAGTCATACCAAATTTAAGCTAAAACTTCAACCGGGAAGGCATTCAAATGAATTATTAAAGATAACTGCGCAGTTAAAAGCGCAATTATGTTCAAGAATTCATTTGAATGCCTTACCGGTTGAAGTTTTAGCTTAAATTTCATAAGTAAACTAGACTTAATAAATAAGATGCTAACAAATTTCATCAAAAAATTCCACCGGAGACCGCTCAAATGGTGACAGTCAAACACTAAAGGACTTATTTGACCCTTTTTATGCAACTTCGAGTACCAATTTGACCCTTACCTCTTTTGCAATATATAGTGTTAACTATCTCAATAAGTTATCGATTGAAATAAATTGTAAACTCTTTTCCATCACTAACTCTTTCAAGAATATGATGAAATTTTAACAGAAACGACTGAATTGACTGAATATACTGAATTATAGAAAATTTATATGTTTAAAATATATTTTCTTACTCCTCTAAAAATCGTCCTAGTCGAACCGATTAATCGGCAACTAGGCGCTAAGCGGTCCTAACCGTAGAAGACTACAAAAAATTGGCCTAATTGCCCCTCAAACACCCGACTAGCGTCTAGGAGCTAGACGCCCTTCAGACGTCCGATCGACTAGCGCCTAGCGAGTTTTAGAACAATATATTTTCTTAGTAAAATAAAGAAAGGTTATCTGAAAAATAGGTAAGATGGTCCATTTTAGTATTTAAACTAAAAAACTAATTCTCACCTTATTATTTTATTACACAATCCAATAAGTGAAATCATGCATGTTATTTAATATAAAAGATTGTATGATAAGGTTTATTTTTTCGAAAAAAGAAAGTTATCAACAATTGCACTATCATTAAAATACAGATGGACCATACATTACCAGATCAATTGAGACCATACCAGAAAATTTATGTCCAATTAAAAACATTCTAAATTCTCAGAACAATAATTAATAACTTGTTTATAGTTTCATGAAATTTAATATACGACATTAAACAAAACATATGGGGGACTGCACAATTACAATGTACCCACTAGAACTAGAAGTTAAAATATTCAAGATGACCAACATAAAATTAATAAACAAATTAAACCTAATGTGAGACTCTGTAAAATATACTCGATTGGCAATATGGCATACTCGCACCATCGGGTACTTCCGGTTTCAAGAATTGGGGCCTGGGATGATTTCTATACTTTTAACTCTCTCTTATTTGGTCTTTCAATAACAGAGTAGGTTACTGGAGCAGATTCGGGCTGGGGCAGCTAGCTTATAGGGGGCAACCATATTCTTTAATTGGGGGCATCTATTAGGCTTTCTAAAATTTTCTAACAATATAGAAAGGTCTAGTATGATTTTATTGGGGGCAGCTGCCCCCAAAGTTATCAAAATCGCGAGTTAAATCGTAAAATTGGACGATTTTACGATTCAACATCTATAAGCCGATTTGACTCGTGAACAAAATCGGAAATATTTAAAATCGCATAAAATCGTTTTGAAATCGGGCAAAATCGTCTAAAATCACGATTACATCCGATTTTACGATTTTAAAACATTTCTTTTTGACTCAAGCCAAACATGGCCCAACCTAAAGCGAAACAAGGCCCGAGTTGCTCTGGCCCATAGGTGCTTATGGCGCTGTGTCCTGCCATTGTCCCAAATGGCATCAGCATTATATAGCGCTATATGAAGGACAATTTGCCTTGTCTATCCGGTGTGGGAAAGATGGATTTGAGAAAAAAAACCTCCGTTCTAAACTACGGATTGAACGCACCCACCATTGGTTGAGCAACTGCCATAGAATGTGATTTAGTAAGAACATAGTTATATGCTACGTACTTATTCGTATGTAGTAAATTTTAAGCTTATAGTTATATAATTTAAACATACTTATATTAACTTAGCTATTATTTCTATTCTAAAAAATTTAGCAATCTCCGTATTTATATAATTTTACCATTCTAAAACTTGATTATAAAATTATATTTATTTATTGAATGACTTTTTCTCTTTGATTACATAACATTATTTTGTGCACTTTAATTAAGATATCATTATAAGACAAAAAAACATATAATAGTTTAACTAGCAGACTTAAATTTGAAATAAATTGACTTATAGATGATAAATTGTACATTTCCTTTTATGTAATTTTTTAATAATTTTTTTAATTATAAAATCTTACGATTTACGATTCGATTTTACGATTCGATTTTTGAACCTTTATTCCGATTCGATAAAAAAATACGATTTTAACAACCTTGGCTGCCCCCTTTACTTCCTCACTACATCCGCCTCTGGTCCCCGATCCGTCCCGTTGTCATCCATACTCTCAAGCTCCTTATTGTGTGTTTGACACAACACTTTTAGGAGTTGATTAAATTTTGTAAGACCTTTTTAGAAATTATGAGAGTTTCAGCTGATACAAGAGGTTGTGGCAGCCCACATTCTTCAATAGTACGCTAAAATTTGATAGTCCATACCAATTAACCCCCCAGAACCGAACATAAACGTACCTAGAAATTGAAATTGTATATATCTGTATACAATTCCGACTTCATCCTTTCAATGATCCAAAAGCATTCAATTGATGCCACAATTGATGGCCTTTCTCTATGTGTCACCGAAGGCAAATTATGCTCTTCCAAGGTTTATGATTGCTTAGAATTAAAGGTACCAAACATGTTTGGATTCCCTACATTTGGAAAACCTACACTCCACCTGCATTCTTATTTATTGTTTGACTTGCTTTCCGCAACCGCCTTGCAACGTATGATAATCTTAGTAGGCTTGATTTGGTTAACATATGTCTGTTTTGCAAGGGTGAACCGGAAACTGTACCACACATATTATTTGGTTGTCAATTTTCAGGAGCTATTTGGAGTAGAGTGCGCATATGGATTGGATTGCATAGACAGATGACTACATTGGATAGCTCGGTGAAATGGATCAAGAAAGACCATGGAGGAGCAGGAATCAAAGCTAAAACAGTCTGGATTGCCTTCATCTATACCGCCTACTGGATATGGAGAGTTAGAAATGCAACCAAATTTGATGGTGCCACACTGAAAGAGGAGGATGTTTTTGCTAGGATCAAATAAATGGTCTATAAGATCCTTTCCAACATTTACTCATTTGAGCTCATTATCTATTGATACTTTGGTGCATTAGAGTTTGGCCATGTGTGATTATTGTGTATAGTTTTTGAGGTGATGGATAATCCTTTCTTGGATAGTCCCATTTTTTGCTCCCATTTTTTGCTCCCCATATACCTTTAAACATGTGCATTAAAGAAGACAACGGTAATTAAAGGTTTTGCTCGAGTGCAACTTCCTAAAACTCCATGGTGAAAGCATAAAAACAAAAAGCAAAAGCATTTTGACTTCCATTTTTAGGGTAATGGGTTTTACCCTATAGTAAATTTGAATTTTTTGCAATGTCATGCCACTCTCACCCTTGATTGGCTGTCAAAAATTGTATGGCGACTTCATCCTTTCAAGGATCCAAAAGTATTTTTCTGAATGCCGATTTTTTGTCACATTCATTTTATGACTAGTTAGACCACTCCATCCATAAATTACACTTTTCTTCGAACAAATATAACTTTCACTCCATCCATACAAATATTGTACAATTCAACATTAAATTTACCGCTTTTACTTTGCTATTTTGGTACATTACTATTTTGTCTTATTCACTTTTAATCATTAAATTATATTTTCAATGCTCCAAATGACATAAGAGGCACTGAAAAATTGGATGGAAGAGGCGAAGAGCCACTTATATGGACCCAAGTCATCACAAAGGCGCCTACAAAATGGTGGATTCATATAATACTTGGAGCAAAAGTGTATTTAATTCATTCGAATGAAAATCTCCACTTGCAAAAAAATATGCTCCGTAGACCGTAGTTGTTTTGAAACTTTGTAAGATGTTCCTTATTAAAAGTACGCTCAAAAGCCACGCATATCTAGAATTTGGTCAACCATGCTAAAATTGTCTACTTTGTGGAGAATAAAAAACAAGAGTGAAATCTGTTTGATTATGGTTGATATTCTTAGTCATCTCTATCCGTGTACAAGCTTTTCAAATTGGTCCAAATTCTTCTAATTTCTACGGTTCTACCATTGGATCGTTATGTTTAGATTATACTTTAATCCAATGTTCTTAAAAGCTTTAGGCGCCAGTCAGACGTCTAGACGAGGATTAGTCACAGACAATATTCTAAAAGGCGCTAGACGCTAGTCGGGTGTCAGCCCAGTGCCTAACTCCTAGGCGGCTAGGCGGGTAACTAAGCGGGGACTAGTCGAAGACATAGAAATTATAGTTTTATTAATGTTTACGCATAAATATGATTAGTAATGTTGTGTTTGTGTGTGTATGTACAAAAATACACACATACACATAACATGGACGAATATAATGGTTATAAAATCATATTAGCACTTAAGATTATATATGAATATATATATTTTTATCTAAATGTAAACTCTTAGCTTTTTGTATGTGTTGTTAAAATCAAAAGTACATATATATCTCTTAGAATACTAAAATAAAAAAGTATAATAAAATGTTCAATGAATCTAGACGCCCCCGGATGGTCGATTAGGCACTCTAAGCAGGCAACTATGCGCCTTAAGCGGCCAACTAATTCATTTGGGAAATGCTTAGTGTACACATTTTGTGTACAACTTGTGTACACCAAGAATGATCCAATTCATTTAGGAGCCAAATTAATTAGTCGGAGCGTGTAGACTTAAATATCGGGCGTCCGGCCACCGCCTAGCGCCTAGGCGGGGATTAGACGGGCGCGTAGAGCGAATATGATATGTTATATTATGTTTGTGTGCGTATAAAATACACACACATTAACATGCATGAATGATAGGATTATATATCACATTTAATAATATATGACAACTAATCACTTAACTTCATCATGCTATAAGTATTAACTATTAAACAATGTGTAGTACTACGTAATAAAATTTGAGTATATATAAAAAATATATATTATTTTTATTTTTATTTACATACAAATATCCCTTAGAAAAATAAAATTAAAGGGCAAAAAAACGTTCACCCAAATTTAGACACCCTTCGTGGGCCTGTGGCTGATAGGCGTTCTGAGCGGGCAACTAGGCTTTGTTTGCAAACCATTTAAAAAAAATATTTCCCAACTTTTGGCTTAAAAAAGCACTTATGTTACCAATCACTACCAACTTTTACTTTTCTCGGCTTTCGTGCAGAATCTACTTTTTACTTTTTCTATTAAACAAAATGTATTTATTTTACCAAACATTACCAACTTTTACTTTTAATCATTTTTTCCAAAAAAAAATGCTTTTTTAAACACAAGCACTTGCAAACAAAGCCTTAGACACGAATGAATTAGTTGGGTGCCTACACAAAACGTGGGGAACAACGCTTTAATCTTAATCGCCTTTCTTAACCTTTGCCTTTATATCTGTTTAAACCACGACAATTCCTCTTGAGTCTTGATCAATTGACTAGCCTGCCATTCCAATAAAAATACCAATTGTGACAATTATCTTTTAATGAAGCGCAGGTGTGGATTACGAGTCATGCAAGTGTTTATCAGATTTTAAACGAAGATGTTGACAAAATTTCAGGGCCGTTTTTAGAAGGTTGAATAGGTTATCCAGAACAGGCCCCCCAAATGTATGGGGCCCCAAATTTTTAAAAATTTATTAATATTATATAATAATATTATATTATTATAGTTATTAAGTAAGGAAAAAATATAGATCCATCATTTTTTTGTTGGTCATTTTACTCTTTTAGTTCTTTTTAATCAATATTCAGTTAATTTGAGTACAAGTATTTAGATTGAGATTTTTTAAAAAATATGTTATATTAATGTGGGGTCCCGTTTTTACATTTTGAACCGGGACTTCCAAAATCATTAGATAGCCCTACAAAATGCTAAATGGCGTAATTGAAATTGCAGACTAGACATGAATGTAACGATTTAAAGGGTAGACATAAATTGGAAATTTGATAAATACGAGAGATTCTGTTAATTACTACTCTGTATTTTCGAAAATAGACTAAAGCAGGTTGAAATTAGAATAAATAAAAAACATCCTACAACTTCTACATGAGCACCAGTGGTCTAGTGGTAGAATAGTACCCTGCCACGGTACAGACCCGGGTTCGATTCCCGGCTGGTGCAAGTTTTATTATTTTTGGTGGGCATTCAGCATCTTGCCAATCGAAAGGATAGAAACAAATGAATGAAATGATACTACCTAAAATATAGAAGTAGTTATGTGGATCATTCACTCACTAACAGGAATATTTCATTCTCCGAAATACTTTTTTATTTTCCATAATTGAAAAACAATAGAGTATTTCCTATTTTCTTCTTAATTTGGAGAACTTGTTTGTTGGTATTTTCCAAAATGGAAATACCCAGCACTAAACTACGTCTTGCATTTGGTTCCCGCTCGGATATCTTATTGAGGCAATTTTTTTAAAGTCTATGCAACGAGGTACGTTGGATAGCATATTTTATTCCACGTTATTAATAGTTGTGGATCATTCACTAACATATACGTAGTATATTTTATTAAATTAGGAAAATCAATTTTCATGTTTTTAGTATTTTATAACTTACTTTAGATACCATAATTTTTTCCCAAATTAAAAAAAAATCTAATACTAAAAGAACATGTGATTTTAAAAATGTTTAAAACATGTTATGAAAAACATGTGATTTCTAAAATATTTTCGTATTACTAGTTTTGTGTATTTTCTTTTAAAGCCAATGTAACCTCTTATTAAAAAATGTCACTTATTAATTCTTCTTCGTGGATTAACATTTATGTAAACATTTTGTCTTATTTCAAATGTTTCTTAGTACGAGTACTTTATTTTCCATTATACACGGATAATAACTTTTTAATAGTTTTGGGTACTATTTGTCATTTTTACGCCTTTGGTTCTGTCGGATTTCAATTCCTTAATGTATATATAGTTTCTTTATGATTATGAAAAATGAAATGGAAAAACAAATGAAATTTGAAAAACATGTTCAGATTTGGATAATAGACAATTGGATAATGAAAATAAAAAACAAATTGGAGAAATAAATCAACAAGCATTAAACCAAGTACCTCGTAGTCTGATGACATTACTATCGCACTCCCAAGGAGGAGACCACATGTTTGAATTTCTATCTCAATTTAAAGAAATTGATCTTAACATAGAACAAATAGGAAGCCCGACCAAAATAAATACATAAACCGGCCCTTATAATCCCAATCACGTTATTTTATTTGTTTCGCATTATTGGGATTATATGGTTGTCTCTCTCATTTCTAGTTTTGTAACTTTTACTTAAGTTTTTCAATCTTTTTTTTCATAAACTTTTACTTAAGTTTTTTTCAATCTTTTTTTTCAAAGTTTATACTCCGCATTTTTCTATATGTCTTTTATATTTTTTCATCTAACTTTTCAAACTTGGTTAAATGTCCCACACCGGAAAAGTTTGGATGAACGAAGTGCTATATTAACACATGAGCTACTCCTCCTATCAGGTTGACCTTTTAGGATGGAACCTCGTGTCTTAACATGGTATCAGAGCCAAATCGATCCATGGTGTGGGGCCCCTTATGAAAAATGATGACACGACTATAAAACGGTCGGATGAAAAAAACGGATCGATGAAAAAAAATGAAATATGACACGATCCAGACGAAGTGTCTGGTCGTGAGGAGGGGTATTAAATGTCTCACACCGGAAAAGTTTTGATGAACGAAGTGCTATATTAACACATGTGCTACTCTTCCTATCAGGTTGACCTTTTGGGATGGAATCCCGTGTCTTAACAAACTTCGAATCTTTACATTATCCTGATTCCTGACTCCCAAGTACAGGGTTGGTCTTGACATTTTATGGGTCCGGAGCGATAGGAAAAACAAAGTTCCTTAAAAGGTTATATATATATATTGCAAAATCTTACCTATTTATACGCAAATTTCAACGTACAAAGTGGCGTAAGTTTTTCATCAGTCTTAAAATATACTCCCTCTGTATCTATTTAGATGACACACTTTTCTTTTTTAGGGTATCAAATTAATTGGCTCTTTTCCCTTTTTGGAAAGAATCTCACTCAAAAAGCAGCTACAGTACCGCTACAGTGTCGCTACAGCACCAAAAACATCATATTTTTTATAAAGTCTACAGTAATCATCTTGAACTCAGTGAAAAGCAAATAGGTCATCTAAATAGATACGAAGGGAGTATAAACTAAAAGAATGAAAATTATATTAAAAAATTAGAGAATTACCCGTTAAACTAAAATTTCAAATTTGA